CTTTATAAGCAATTTTGATGAACTGACATGGACAAATCACCTCAGTTCTCAGAATATTAAATAATTACAGCAGTTAAGTTGAAAATATTTAAAAATACAATCTTAATCCAAACCAATGGAATGATTCCTTGAAAAGTACCTGATAGCCGCCTTGCTCTGTTTTGTGTCTAATATTTTAAGCAAATGAATACAGCACTTAAAAAAAACACACAAAACATTAAATAAGACCTTCATGTACAAAAGTTAGGGTAGTTTAGGGAGGTTCTGTACCTAGTGTTTCTTAACCTCCAAATAGAGCAGGTGAACTAGAAGCTTAACATAATGCAAAGATATTTCGCAATTTGTTTGCTCTTGCTATATTCATCTTTTTCTTAAAACCCAACATAACTGCTTCTTTGCCTACAAAACAAGTCAAATTGTTCAGTCATTAAACCACACCAAGAAACCACCTCCCAAGAGGATCTGACACCCACTACCCCTAAAAGAGCAAGACACATAATGAGGTGAAAATTAGTTTCTATTTATTGTGTTAAAACAACTTTATGAAATGATTTACAACTCTACATGTATAAAATTGAATAACTAGGAAAATAGCTACTGCATGGGAAAACATTACACAAACTAGCTTAACCGCCTTTAGACTACTCTTCTTACTGATCTCAGATGACATCACCAACTAATAATAGCAGTTTCTGGCAAAAGGAGAAACAGCAGCAAAGTCCTGCAGTGAAGTTTTGATTGCTAAGGTTGAACTGTTCATTCCATTAATTCTACAACTTTCCTACAATCATTTATTTTTCTATATATTCCTACTTCCTACAGGATAAACCCTAATAAAGTGGTTCTGAGAGACAAATAAGATAGAAATTCACATTTATAGTTCTAAAAAATTTCAATAAAAGGCAGCAGAAAAAAATAGAAATTACCACAAAGTTCTATCATCTAGTCCAGGTTATGAAGCCAAAATTTTTCTTCTAATGCTGACCACTCTAAGGAATGAATTGAAGTATCCAAGCTCTTCTCACTTCTCTAAGAGTGATTCTAGCTCTTCTTGCAGAGAGCTAAGTTGCTCCTTTTCTCGGTCTTCCTTTTGTTTAAGTTCATCCAGTACAGCCTGAAATCTGTTCTTGAGAGCCAGGTTTTCCACTTTCATGATGAGATCTTCCTGTCGTTTTGCCCTGTCCTGGGTCTCTTGGAGTTTGCCTTTTAAGTTATCAATCTGTTTCTGAATTCCCATAACCAGTTGATTGGTTCCCTCATTTTCTTGGTGCTGTTCATCTGAAGCACTTAGCTTGTCCCGTAGCTGTCTTTCCAGATCTTCTTCAGTGTCAATTATGTTTATATCTTCTTCATCTTGATGCTGTGTCTCATCTTCATCTTCACTGCTGCTGCTGAGGTCATTGAATATCTCCCGAAGCTCATCATGTTCTAATGAGTCATGGCCCTGCCTATGGCCTGACATTCCTGGAGAAGAGATATCAAGGCCTTGATTTTCTGTTTCTTTTGTTTCATCTTCAGCAATTATTTCCCAACGAGTACTGACAGCTTCTGCATCTGTACTCAGCAAACGCTTCACTTCTTTTTCCACATCGGGAGATTCAATATACTTCTTCTTTGCTGTTTTCCGGAACCTTCTCTTTCTGACATTTTTTAAAGGCAGAGTGATTCCATGGTTCCATACAAACTTTTTCTCTTTGTCCTTATCCTTTTTCTTGCTTGCTTTGGGATCAGCAGCAGCAGCAGCAGCAGCAGCAACTGGTTCTTCCACTGGAGGATAGAGATCACCATCAACTGTGGATACAAGCATCTGACAGATATCAGCTGTCTTGTAAAAGGTTTTTTTATCAATGGTTTTCAAACTTTCCATAACACATGGCAGATCTACCAATTTTGAGGCCAGTGGGACCCGGTCCACTCTGACGATTCCATGACGCCCATCAGGGTGTAACTCAATTGTCAGTCTGTCCTTCAGGTTGACATGGCCAGACTGTACTGCCCGCCTCACAGTAGATGCATATTCCGGAGGTAGACGTAAGATAAACTGGCTCTCTAATTCGTGAGGAGCATCATCTTTGCTCTTACTCATCTTTATTTCTTTGCAACTCACTTCTCTAATAAGCACTTGTCCGCACTAAAAAATTCCAACTCTATCAAGTTAAAAAAACCAGTTTGTTATGAATGGAAAATTTCAATTACAAAGAGTTCTAAGTAGAACAGCAGCTAAGCGTCTATTGTCTTGATTTTGAATTAAGCACCAAGTTTTTAAAAATATGCTGTGACTGAATACCAATCTTTACTGACACTGGCTTATTCAGTTAGGTCCTTTTGGATAAATTAGTTGCAGTGCCAAGTTCCAACCTCAAGATGGCGCTGCCGGACAACGCAGAGAGCTAGCAAGCAGAACAGCAAATGGCGGCTCCTGCGGAATGATTTTCGGCACAGAAAGTTAAGGCTCAGAAGACACTCCCAATTCACAAACTTTCCCGGAACAGAGACAGTCAAAAAGCAGAGCGCAGGAAGTTCTCTTCGGGTACTTACAGTACAATGACGATTATAAACCCAGGCTCTCCGGACAGGAGCAAGCGAAAGAGAAAGTCACTAGGAGCAAAGCGGCCGGAGGCGCAGCGCGTCTCCTTCCTGACTCCTTTGTTCCTCCCGGCTCTTGGCAAAGCGATCCGCTACTGATTATCAATGAAATGGCCCAGGATGAGCAGCGCAAAATCTCACCGAGATCCGCAGCTCTGAGTACCAGACTCCGCAACTCGGCAGCGCGGCAGCCGACAGCGCGGCAGCCAGCAGCTCCGCAGCTCCTCCAACCTCCGTCTGATGCTGCAAACCTAGCGGAGAAGGAAATATATACGTCACCGAACGGGGCGGAAATCGGCTGTGAGTGACAGCAAGACTCGAGCGCAAGTGCAGCCTACCCCAGCACACGCAGGCGCAACGTGCAATTATGCTTGCCAGCGTCTGTCTGCTCGCGAGAACTTGGCTTCAGGCTATGGGAATAATTTTTCTTAAAGAGCTATTGGTTTGAAAATATTTAGAGACACCGGTTCCAAGAAAGACCTAGGTCTTCCCGCACCCACCTCCCCGCCCCGCCGCTAAGCCAGGACTTTTACAGGATCGCCGTGGGGCCGGATAACTCCTAGGCTTCCCGGTGATTGTCGGATATAGAGCGTCTGTGTGGAAGCAGTCTTTCCTTCAGGAACAATCTTGGATGCGCCCCCAGGGTATATCCAATTTCGAGTCAATACAAGAATTTATAACTAACCATGCAGTGGATTTTAACGTACCCAAATCAGTGGAGTGAGGAGGACGTGCTGCCCACTATGTAATTCTAAGTCTGTAGTTCGTTGGTTATGAAAATGCCTGGAGTGGACTCATGCCTCAGGGTCTGTTTCTGTTGTGAAGGACCCCAAGAGAACAAGGGTGATTCTTAATATGTTTGACGTAGATATAAATGTAAACAGAGAAGTGAGTGTTCTTCTAGAGGCATATGTTCGTTTAGGACAGAGTTGTCTAATAGACAAATGGTCTGATTGCGGTAGAATATAATTGAAGTATTACTCTCTGACACTCACTAGCCAGTAATTTTTAAATTAGGAATTTTTCTCATTCCACTCTGCTATTTTGATAACTGTTTTGTGCTTGTCTGTTCTATATGTAGTCAGATATTTATCAACACGTATCTGTAGTATTTAAGCCTAACTATATAACAGTTTCCACTGATTCCTACTCAATTCCATTTATTTTTTAATGGAACCAGCTTGGTAGAGCATCAAGGTCATTAAAATTTTAATTCCTATTCCCTATTAACAACTGCATCTAAACTGCACACTCTATTAAAGTGTGATTAACATTTCCAAAATTCACTTCATTTNATTTATAAACACACACACAGAGTTCAGAAGCTATTGCCATTTGCTAAGCAAGACATAATAATGACTTGCACTAGGACAGTGGCAGTGTGGATGAAATAGAGTGACTAAAGAGCTTTTCAGAAAGCAGTAGTAAGTAGCAGTCATCGAAGGTTGTTGGTTAAATTTCAAGCTTCAGCAACTGGGATGGGGTGGCAGTGCCATTTATTTCTCACTGAGTCATGAAACACAGGAAGAAGAGCAGAAGCAAAGGAAGAAATTATGTGTTCCATTTTGAATATTCAGAGTTGAGTTGCCTGTGGGATACTTACAAGTGAGTGTTTCCAATATACAACTAACGATACTAAATCTGAAGCTCAGAAGACATCAGGCTTAGAAATATGGATTTGAGAAATCAGCACAATGAAATGAAACTATTACTGCCTATTAAGGAAACTATTACTGCCTATTAAGGTCTGAACCTTACAGGGATTAAATAATTTTTTAATTAAACAGTGATTGAAACGGTGAAAATATGTACAGCTGCCTTAAACATGGTTAAACAGTTTACTTGAAATATCTCTGCAGCATAAACAAACTGATTCAACTTACTACTGTAGCTTGATTTATCTGCTTGTATGATTGTAAACTTGAGAGGTCTGAAAAATTTATTTTGCTTGACATTTCACCACTGATGTTTCTTGTCAAATACCTAATT